GCTGGCGCGCTGAGGAGAGTGTTGTTCTTGTTGAACTGTCTCCTCCGTTTAGGGTCTTCTCACAGCGTTGCGACAGGAGGCGAGTCGTCTCACAGCTAACCTATTATCTCTCTCCGCACTATTCAAGATTGTACTTTGAAGCGGTGACGTTGCGCCACGTGGTTTTTTGTGCGTTAACAGAAATTAGAATTTATCTCCGTGGTGTTAGTACTGGAAGGGTGGTCGCATGTGTTCGCAAGATGTGAATTCCTGGCACAAAATTTGTTTTGATCGGCGTACCTCCAGGCAACACTACCAACCAATGCGAGTTCAGCTGCTCCAAGGCAGGACGTGACATTATCAGCTGTTCCTCTTGCAACTACGATTTCTCGGTACGCTGGGATACGCGCAACCAACGAAATTGTGCAATTTATCGCACCTGAATAGTTTCCACTACCTCACTGTTTACCACCCACCAATCAGTGTTGAATGCCTTCCTGGAAGTAGTTTTTACTGGTTTCTCTTAATATGACTTGAATCAACGCTTGAAAAATGCAATGCGAAATATCCGGATTCCATAGTAGTAGCCATTTTTTCCCGAAATTCAATCGAAATGCTAAATTTCTTAACTTTCACTTGATTATTTTTGAAAATGCCTTGGGGACTCAATAGGTAGTTCCCCGGAAAAACTATTTAATTTAGAAAAAACAAAAAATATTAAAAAAGAATTATGTGTGTTCTCGTTCCTATCTATAACTTGTCACAATCTATTCTAGAATGAGAAGTTACTTGTCTTTAGTTTGTGGAAATGTCAAGGTCAAGGAAGCATTTAAACAACGGTACAAACAATTGCTTTGCATTTAACTTTAGTAGTTGAAAGAAACGCCAGTTGATTTGCACTTTGACACAAAGAACGAGTGCAGATGCGGGCTGTTCTCTTCACTCCGGTCAAATTTGTGACTTGTGATCACATGAACAGCCAATTAGATACTATTTTCCGAATATTATTGGTCAACGAACTAGCCACGAAAGACCTCTAAATTTTAGTTATTCATCGCTAAATTTTAGTTCAGTTTAAAACAGTAAGTTTCAATACAAAATTCACCTAGATTAATTCGTGAATATCTTGTAGAATCCAGAGATTTCACGTATTCCCTTGACTCCAATAGACAACTTTCAATTTGACATGAATTCATGCACTATGTTTTCAAATGTTTTAAAGATAACAACTTTCACTACTGATAAATTAGATTGCCAAGAAAGTTTGGCATTTTGCTTCCTGTGTGGAGGATAGGATGCCTAATTTCTGAGTGCGTTCGACAGGCCCTCTACTGCGCAAGATGGTGGCACTGAGGTCGCAACAGTTGCGGCAATGCGTTCCATAGCGCTGCTTGAGTTGATCCTGCTACTGCGAATGCAGAATTTTGAGGCGGTTTCTTCAAATACCTATATTCCGGTGTTCATTCATAACTAAAAACTGCAATGGTAATATTAACTCATCAGTGTATATGCCACTTAAAAGCTTGGAGAATCCAGAATGCGGAATGTGCGGCATTTCAAATGGTCGAAGCCGCGCTCGATGTTCAAATCGTAATTTGTTTGAATCGATGATATTGGAATTGATTAAAGCAAAATGCGCTAATCGAATTTAAGTGGACAGAAAATAGTTTATTCTTTGTGGATTAAAAATTATTACACAACGACTATCACTGCACTCTAACAGAGGAAGCTCGGCCACAAATTGCTCTTTATTTGATTTCGCGGTTTTTTAACTGCCAATATGTCACAGGAAAACCGTTCACTTTTACAATGGCCGCTATTTCAAGGCATATTAAAACAAAAATTGCAAATCATAATTTTTTGTCGCTTTTTGAGTGGTTAACTTACTTGGGAGTGGCTTCTATCAGCTGTTTCTAGTAAATCCTTAAAACTGTTTTATCCCTCTTTTTTAATTAAATTTCCATGCCATATTCAAAACAGTAGTCATTGGGTAGACGCTTCAAAATCTTATTTGGTTATTCTAAGTGCATTCTTGTTAAACAGTTTTTAACAGTAATTTCTTGTCGAAAGGCATCATGAATTTGAGGTTTACCAACTCAGTCACAACTCGCTCACAGAAACGCACATATGTGTGTATATTTTTTCTAAAAGTACATAGCACACTCAACTTTGACGTTGCTAAAATCCACTTTGTCATAAAACGCGCTTATTTAAAGGGAAATTGGGAAAGAAAAGCATGAGCGAGGTACGTTGCTCAGATATTGAGCCACAAGAGTGACTGCAAAGCAGGTTTCACGGGCATAGGAAGCAGCTAGAGCAACTGAAGCTAAAAGTCCTACTATTCCGCGCGAGCAATCCTCACTTGTACATCACACCAGCTTTCAAGCCCTGTCCTGGCCGTTGTCCATGACACCCCGTACCACCGACTCCTCCACGCGTGTCGACATGGGCTGGATGATAGTCGACGTGGTCGTCAATGAGAGTGGAGGCACGTAACCTTCGCGTTCGACCGCGATCTCCAAATCGTTGCTCGACCGGATAATCTCCATTTTAGCCTCTTTGTGTGTCAGGTGAAGAGTGTCGGAACGGTTGATGCGCAAGACCAAATCACCGGAGCACAGACCGCAGCGTTCCGCCACGCCACCCGGAGAGACGCGTTGGATTTTGAGTGGTTGACCCATGTCCCTGCCACCCTCCAGTCGAAATCCCCACGGCGTGGAGCTGTCCTCGCGGACAAGTTTCAGGGTCACCACTTGTCCGGGCATGGTTTCACCAACAACTTTGTTGCCGAGCCAAATTATTGCCCGCGAGGCACGCTTCCGCGCACGGGCGTGCACGACATGCACACGTTCGAGTCACACCAGCCAATCAGACTCGGACACTGCCCCGATCGATTGTCTGTCGATCTTCAAACATGAAAGATGAATTAACTTATGCGTCCACATATGTTTCTTTTACTAAAACTCACTTATCTAAGTTCGTTGAGAGTCGACACAGCCATGAAAATAAAGCCTTTTTTTAATGTTAATCTGTGTGTTGGAGGAAGAGACTGCATTTACCTCGTGTTCTAGGCGATCATCGGATATCGTGAACAGTAACGATCCATGGAGTATCATTGGTAGGGTTACTGACAGACAAAATTTTGACAAATCAACTGCATCTCGCTAGTGACGGCAACTTGTATATACCCGTATCTCCTCGCACATCAACCAGACGAAACACGGCCTGTACGAAGCAGCACAACGAGGAATAAGAAGCTGGAGGCACGGAAGTGAGAGCGCAGGAGCCATGGCAACGCTTGAATTGCATCTTTTACAAGGACTGTTAAACACCTACTGGGAGAGTACAGAGGGGTAATTAGTAAGAGAAGGTTTGTGTGCAGTTTGTCTAACACAACGTTTAATTTCCATCAAAACGTGTAAATTAAGGCGTTCGAAAAGGCATTATCTTTCACAATGACAATGCTAGATCAACTGTCGCTCAATTGTCTTAGAGAGCCGAAATATCGCATCCCCCGGAACTTTTTACTTTAGATTCGCATCTCTTTCGTATCCTACGGAATGAATTCAGCGGCCACATTTGACCTTTGCGAAGGAAGTGAAGATTGGTATGACGTGATGACTAACATAAAACCATTGTTCGTGGCAATATACTGAATTTAATTTTGGCGCCAAATCGTATACGAGCTTTTGCAAACAATCCTGAGAGATTCGCCGTTCTACCTAGCCATTCATCTGTTACCTGACCTTAGTTGATCAAGAGCATCAACGATCACTGACCCCTTTAGTGTAGATCGATGATTCATTCACACCGACACAATTTGTTTAAGCTGTCTGAGGCTGCTGACAACTTCACCATTGAAGTCGCTTCATTTGGTCACCCTATTTGTAGGGCTCCACATTGACTGCCTCCGTAGTGTGGTGACGGATCAGGGCGCAGACATATTGGACCACGCTAACTTCAGCCAATCCTGTGTCTCTCTGCGTTCCAATGGCATGTGAGGAAGATAAGGAGCCAACCAGAGAGGGACACGAATGAGGTGCGTGAGGTGAGGTGAGCGGCGTGGCCAGTGTGGTGGACTCGGATGGAAGGCGCATGACGTGTGGCTCTGGCTTATGATTGGTCAATAAAGCCTGTTCTGTTGTACCAGTCTTCTTCCTATTAGGGCTCGGGTATTCTACTACAGTGATGTACACGGGCGCAGCCATGTTGGACAACACACTGAGCTCAGCCAGTCATTTGTCTTTGACTGGGCTACGTTTAAGTTCACCAGCCAACCAGTGATGAGGATAGATTAGAAGCAGTATCTAATGAGCAGCGCAGCCAGCATGGTTGACTTGGAAAGAGTTTGTGCTCCCCAAGGCACTATTTCACATTTATTCGCCGCTTAAACTTCATCCCTACAACTACTCACAAGAAACGGCCTATGCTTGAGTTAGGAAAACAAGTTGAAGGTGATCTTTAAATCACCAATTCAGATTTTTCTTTGTAAATATAATCAATTTATCGCTTAATTACCTACTCACAATGTTCGGCATTTACGCACGTTGCGATGTAAAAATTTATGCAGCATCATACCTTAAATAGGTAGTAAATTCTTTATTATTTTGAAATAATTACGCTTCAAAATTTAAACGGTGAATTGCCTTGAAGGAAATGCCGAAAATCACTTGCTCTTCAAAAGAGCAGTCGCTTAGACAACATGCTGTTGTGGGCCCCAGCTTGTAGTCTTGAACCACGCCGAGACCGCTGAATTAACCCCGGCCCGGTTGCGCTTTCCTGTTACCCACGATTAAGAAAAAGTTCGGAGAGTACGTGGACACAACCGTTTACTTCAGAGCTCAACCACGTTGGTGTCGTTGTGTAGTGTGTGGGGTTTGCGCGTGTATATTTATACCTCGGATGTGTGAGTCATACATGCGCTAACATCGAGACTTAGGTGTGAGGACAATCCAAGATAAATATTCGTGCGAATGAGGGAGGATTTGAAGACCCGCGCGGAGACTGGAGTAACTGGATTTACGAGTGTGTATCAACGCGATTCACAGCAGTGCATTAACACAAAAACAGCATTTAGTTCTTACAAGTTTATCCATAAATAAC